ATTGTGCATTATTATTTATTTAAATTACTAATATTAGCTAAAGACTGGTTAATTATTATTATTTTTAGTTAAAATATTTTAAAACGAAATTTTTATTACATGTTAAAAGATAGCTTGTATATTTGTAAATAAAAGACTAATATATATATACATATATATATAAAATATAATACAGAAATATTATATATATATATTACTATTTATTTTATCAAAAAATTCTTATTTTATTTTATTTTATTTTTATCAGCATGTGCATAATATTACTATCTAATTTTTTTAAAGTCAATAAATAATAGATTGTGTTTTGAGATATATTTTTAAAATATTCCATGACAAACTCAAAAATAAAGTTAATTTTATATTTTTAATTTTGTGAAAAAAATTAAAAATTAAATAAAAATAAGGGATAAGTGACTATTAACAAGGCCTAAAAACTTTAATAGAAAGAACACACACCAAAATGTACACATGCTTAGCAGCAAAATTAAAATTGTCTTATAATTTTTTCTGTAATCTCACAGCAAGAAAGAACTCAAGTGCATTCAGAAGCAATCAGTTGAAAATTGGAAACTACTCTGTAGAGCTTTGCACTCAAAAGGCCAACGAGCCACAAATCAGGAGAATTGAAAACAAAAAAGATACCAACACTAAATTCTAAAACATAATAACAGTTACAAAAACCCTAATTTTTATGATTATATTTGAAGCATTTTCTAAACAATGATGCAAGAAATCATTCATTGATATTTTATTTTTTAAAATTGATTAAACATTTAATAAAGTAATGCATCTTATTCCAAAACACCATAAACAGTCCTAATCATACTCCAAATTCTTAATTCTAAAATCCCCAACTTGTCTCATGAAACACTTAGGGACAACAAATGTACTCTAATCAATGTACTTCCCGTAGGTTTACAACAACCATAAACTGTAGAAAGGTGGCAAATTGCACCAAAAAGTTAATCTCAAAGGTTGATGTTTCAAATCCCTGTCTTGCTTCACAGACCCTACCATGGGATGCAACCTCCTGCTGTACCAATTAATTAATTTGTTCTAAATATAAATTATATACATATATAGAAAAATTATATATATAGAATTTTTTAATTTATAAAAGAATGTACTTCCTATAGATCTCTGAAGTGCAGTAGGTAGGAAGTGACCTCAAGTGGTCTGCCTGCAAGTAAGTAAAGCCAGAGCCCCTCAGCCATTCCATGTCATGTCATGTTGGGCACTATCTGTGGTCCTTATTCTGTGCCACCCTATTCACTCCCCCACCAGTACTAATCCCCGTTCCCACCCCCCTACAAAGTCTGTTGTCCTGCAGATCACTTGCCTGGCCTTGCTATCAGCACCACCCCCCCCCCTTCTTTCCAGCTCTAAAGCATGCAGGTGCCTTCTCCCAAACCCCAAAAACTGGCTGAACAAACACACTCACCAGCTATCATGTATTCTGCATACAACTCTTTAATTTTGGCATGGTGATTTGGAAAGCCATCCCTATTGGATTACACTCTCAATGAACTTGTACACCGTGGAAACCAGGAGTTGGGAACACACACACACACACAAGGGGGTTGCTATTCATGTGTGCTCTGAGACATTTTTAGGGATTTGAGAGAGGATGTGAGCTGGTTTTAGTGCAAGTTAAGAAGTGGGTGATGCCAGATGGGAAGGTAGTGGGATGGCAAAAGAGAGATTACCTCAAAAAGATGAGAATTCTGTGCAGTTGCTGCACACAATTGTGGCATGGTGACAGGGAGCACTACATGTTCATGCCAACTGGGCAGTGAGAGGGCATAGAAGTCTCCATGTGGCAATTGGGTGGAAAACACCTCATTTGTGGCGTTGTGCACAAAAATGTGCAACACCCTTAGTGATCATTTCATTCATTATATACACACATGGAAATTTTCCTAACAAGCTATACCTTATTTAAATTACAATAAATATAATGACAATTAGAAAAAATGGTAGTATGGTCTCAATTGCCTTGTTTCTTCGGCTGATAACTTGTGCCCTAAAATATGGTTGGCTTGATGATTTCAGAAACTCATCTAAGTAGCATGATATGTATGGGTTATTTAAAAAATAATTTTAAAATGAAGAATTTTATGCTGGATATCAGTTTAATTAAATCTTGTAGTTGTCATGTTCCCAAGCTTGTTAAGCTTGATTTCATCAATATTATCAATGATTGGATTTGTGCATAGTTGGCAAAATATATGTTATAAATTCAAGACCTTGCAATATCCAGTATAAATTAAAACATATTCTCTTGATTTTTCTATGTATAATTTTTAAGTAACTTCTAGAGTCTTAGCATTAATAATATTATCATAATTGACTTGCAACTAGAAGGTACAGTTCATAAATCCAAGATGCATATTGTTTAAAAATAAGTTTGATTTTTAATGCAACAATATTTTTGGTAAAATTATTATTGACCTTCTAAGTGATTTGACTGAACTAAATTGCAAGTTATCTTATATCAAAAAGTATGATAGAAATTGTAATCAAATATACATGTTGTTGACCAAATACAAGAAGACCATATAGTTGCAATTATTTTTAGGCTATGCATACAATTGTAAAATTTTAATTTTAAAAAACTTCACAGTTTTTTTTTTTTTTTTTTTTTTTTTTAAATCTTTGTTTTTTTTATAGGATATAAAATTATAATAAAAAATCTTTCTTTGCAGTTTTTTTCACATATTACCTCTATCATAAAATTCAAATTAATTGTACCCCACTAATATTATTATGAAAGCTTTAGTATAGATTTTGTAACACAAAAAGATTGACTTTTTAATTTTGAGGTCTACATTAATTTTTTTTGTTTTGTAAATGAATTAGATATTAGAAGTAGTCATTGCTAAGATGGATAACAGTATCATTGGTGTAAACATAGTATCAAACAAATCAAACTCTATTATTAAAGAAACCAATGTCTATGACATCCTTTCTAGTTATTTTGTTTATATTTACATCTGTATATAATTTGATCTATTTAGAATTTTAATTTAATTTATTTTTAAATCATGTTTTTTTTGCACATAATGTCAAAATAAATATCTATTACATAAGAAAACTTGGGTATAATACAAAAGACAAAGAAGTCTTTTGATTGGCCATGAAGAAGCAAACTTGGAGATTGCATGGAACACGAGGAACTTGGAGAATATGGAAACTAGGGAACATTAGAACAAGAAAACCATGGAATATGGTAACAAGAGAATGTAGGAACATGGGAACAAGGAAGCATGGATGAACAAAGAAATAAATGGATTTGCCGGAGATTGTAGTGCCGAATAATACACATTTCTACTAGGATATATATATACACATTTATATTGAAGCCTAATTTTTAATAATTTTTAAAATAAAAATTTCTATCATCTTAAAAATAATAAAATAATAAAAATAAGAGCATACAATATCATTGATAATTTAAAATTAATTCATTGAATGAACATTAATAAAACAATGGTGTATGTTTTACATGAATAATGCACATATGGTGTAAATTTTTTAGTATGCATAAATATATTATGAGCACTATAATTAAGGTGAGCACTTATAGTCTGAAAAAATTAAACCACAAGTGTTCCAAATAAGGATAATTTCTTTACATAAATGTTTTATTTGATTTAGAAAAAAAAAAAAATCTTTAGATATTTGATACTTGTATTCTTATTTTATGCTAACTAAAGATGATTTAAGAAGTTATATTATATAATTTACTAATATATTTATATATTTATCTTTATTTATTTATATTAAAATTGAATATTTATTCTTTACTTTAAACATGTCATCACTAAATATTATATATTTTAATAATAGTTATAAACAAATATTTGATAATAGTTATTGATATATCAATGTATTCAAATTTATACATTATCATTCTAAATTTTGTCTACATCTATGTTCTACTTGAGTTCTACTACATATAAAAATGTGAAATAAATTAATGAATTTAGTTTAATTTAAAAAATTTAACAAGAAAAGAATTAAATTAATTAAAACTTTTGTTCTTCACATTTTGTAAAAGTTTACAAGAAAAACAAAAACTTAGTATTTAAGACACAAATACATATTATTTATTATTGGCCCAAAACAAAATAGTTACATTTAGATTGTAAAGTTATATTACATCCATTAATTTTTAGAAACTTGTCAATAAAATTACTAATATTAAAGCTACTTCTATATCTATTAAAGGAATAGTTGATAGATTTTAGTTTAATTTTAAAAATTGATTTATAGCATCTTAAAATGAGGCTTTTACATGCAATGTATATATTATGAATTGTTTATATATATATAAGATTAAGCTAGTGGGTTTAAACATATTATTTTTATTATTTAAATAGTTTTTTCAAGACTTCTCTTATAATTTTTTATTTTATTAATCAATTGTTAAAACATAAAATAAATTTATTAATATCATTATTATATAAAAAGATACTATAAAATATTTTAAATTATAATCATAATGTCAAAAATAATGTAAAAAAAATCACAAATGATTATTATATGTATGGAATAAATATAATGTAAACAATAAATTCCAATTATAATGTCAAACTTATGAATAAATTAATAATTGTAGGATAGAATCTTGAGAAATTTTATTTACTGTAGACAGAATACTAGTTCTTAATTTAATAAATAGAGTACAAATGGTACAAATTTATTGAGAAGATTTAATTTCACATCTGTTTATAAGGTATAGATAAAAATGTATTATAATGTACTACCTAACTTGAAATTTAGATGATGACTTCTAATATTATAATTATTGTTAACAATCAAAAGCCTGCGACATTATTTCCTCGATTTTTTGAACTAAAAGATTTAAGAAAATCGTTTTGAGATTACCCTATTTTTTTTTTTTAATGCCGCCAAAAATTTCGACACGGAAAAAGATCCCGACGGCACAGGTGTGTCCTCGAGGACGCGGTACTAGGTTCGAGGCACGGTGTTGGAGTGCGACGAAGCGTAGGGCTTCTTCGGCGGAGTGCAATGGCGATGGTGGAGTGCCATACCATTGCTCGTCAGTCCCGCGGGTCCATTAGAGTGGCCATGCTGTTGTAGATAATCGCAGGACGGCGTGCATCGTATTGTCCATCTCGTTGAAGTGCAACCGGAGGGATTCATATTCTCGCCACAGTTGCGTCTGCCGTGGTGGAAGCGGTGAAATTTGGTCGAGCATGGTATTCATGCCTTTGGACAATCCCATGCTCAACCTATAGACGTTGGATTCTCTTCTGGATAGGTTTGAAATTTCAGTTGCATTCCTAATGCACTTGCTCTCTCTTACATCGTTTCGTTTTGCATATAATTAATTGATGCTATTTTCCTCATTGCAAAGTATTGGTCTAGTTTAGGATGTAATTTTGAACTATCGAATGGTTGATTCCAACGGTGCATCGCAAGAGGAGTCGTAAAGGCTCATTTTCATTATCTTTATCATGCAGTTGATGATTGAGCATGCTTCCTCTTCAGGTGTGGTGCCCTCGAAGGGAAGGCAGAGACATGCAGCGACAGGCGTCGACGCCTCGTAAGTATAATTCTTGACGTGTCATTGATTGAATTCTGCAGCTATTTAATATGGATTAATTATCATCAGTTTCAGGAGTTAGCGTCGTTAATGCATTGTATGCCTAGTCGAGGTAGAGTGAAATGAATATTTTATTTTAATCTTTCGATCCTTGAATGAAAGTGTACGACAGCATGACGGCTGAGAGCTTGTATTACTTGCAATGATTAGGTCATGTTAAGATGTGTTTTCAACATCACTGCTTTGTTGTGGTGATAGATCATGGCTAGAAGCTCTTGTACGTGAAAAGAATGTCTTCAACAGTTGATTGCCAGTGTAAAAGCTCAAGTGCCTTACCCGCAGCCATTATCAATTCTTGCGAAGTAGGGCTCGGCATTTCTTATTTTATCAATCGGTACCTAGACAACTGTTAGTAACGAACATATAGTCTCTGATTATACCTACTGTGCGTGATACATTACCTTCTCAGTGGTGTTTACTAACATTCCTGATGCTCTGGTATTTTGACAGGTATGAGAGATGTGCCGTTGCTGGAGGAGACCTACAAGAATACCTCGTAATTCTGAAAGAAAATTCACTCAAGTTCAGTATAATTTTGAATTGGCAAGGCTTTTTTTTTAATATGACGGAGTTCTTGATATGAATGATTTGTGATTCTTATTTAGCGCAATAGTTATTAACCCAATTCTTCGGTCTTTGACATAAAAGTGTGCTTCTGTCGCTTTCAACGGCTGAGACTTTCTCATCTACTATTGTATATTGGGCTATCGACTGGGTGGTGTTCTAGCTGACTGTATTCTCACACCGTTTGGTATACATTCTCGTTGCAACGATTGCATTTCCATGTATGCACACTGCATTTCATCGCATGGATACGAAACTACTGCAGTAACCCTGATTGTTGTCTGCACTCACGGATAAGGTATGCAAATCTCCTAGTTTAAAACTAATTTAAAAACAAATCTCACACAATATAAACAAATTTTTATGAATTGTCTAAACGTACCAAAATTTCTTTAAAAAATATTGCGTGTTTTTATAAGAGTGGCCTCCATGGTTTCTATCTTGGAAAATTTGTAATTTCTGTATTAATAAATAATAAAGTCTAGTTTTAAACAAATATTGTATAAGAATAATTCTAGAACTTAAAAATGATCAATTGTGGTTTTTTAGCACATAAAGTTTGTATAAAAATACAATCTATATTTTTGAAGACTTTCAATGTAATCATAGCTATACAACAATGGCTACAAACAATATAAGCATAGGTTGTATATGCTCATATAGTTTAAATTATACATCTATTAAATTAAACCTGAAGTTTAAATCTAATATATCTTTTTGACTTAGAGTCTTTCTAATTCTATCAAACATGTATTTTGTAAGTTTTTTTTATTTTAATTATTTTAATTATTTTAATTATTTTAATTTTCTAAAGAAACTATTTAGGCTACCAAACTAGAAGCTAAAAAATTTGATTATGATTTTAAGTTAAAATTTATATAAGTAGCTATAATACAAAAAAATTCAAAAAATAAAGATTCTATCAAATAACTATATTTTTTAAAAAATTAAAAATTAAAAACCTTTTATTTCTTCTTATAATTTTTGAAATATCTAAAATTAATTTTTAATTTTAATTAATTGCTTGTTTATTTATTCTAGATGTTACAATTTCAAAAAAGTTTTTATTATATTTTATAATATTTGATTTTGGTATAATATAATATAGACTTTGGTTGAGCCATGCATGATAATTTAAATTTATTTAAAAAACTAAAATTATTAAAATTAAAATTAAAAAAATTTTAAAAAAATTATAGATTGTAATGTAATGTTAATGTTTTGTAGTTTTACTCCATCATGTAGCATGTTGTGCCAAAAACTTAGATAATCCAAAATCAAATGATATAAAAAATATTAGTCATTGGTTGTGAGATTGAATATATGTTTAATTTCTTTAACAATCCAAGAATTAAACTTGTACACATTAAAAATAAGCATTGAAAATAGAATCTTATTTAAAAAAAAAATTCTATATGTTTTTGAATTTCTTGCCAAAATTTCTTTAAAATTTAAGAATTTATTATTAAGATTTTAGGCATATATAATCTTTGCTTTAAATCCAAAAAAGTCCTTAAAAATAGTAAATCTACCAACTTATTTTATAATATATATTTTTATTCATATTTATTAGATTTATAAACATTTATTACTATTAAATATTCTATTTAAATATTTATGAATATAATTCTAAAAAATCTATTGTCTATAAAAAATTGATACTAGTTACAAAATATTTGAGACTTCCTACAATAAAAATAAAAACTCTCCTACCTCAATTCCATTTGAGATACTTATGTAACTTAGAATAAACTCTAAAATATAAAACTTGCATTTAGCACCAACAGTTCTTTTTAAATTTCTAAACTTTTGTTTCTTAACGATTAAAATATTATTTCTAGGTTGAATGTTGTATAAAAAACTATAAAATTTATATATTTTGGATTGATCATTTCTATAAGATGTAATTCTTTTATTACATCATTGTTTTAAAATCAAATCTAAGCACCCTCTTATACTTTTGAAATTGATTTTTTAAAAATTTAAAAATTATATTTTATATAATAATAATTATAATATCTAAAATTTAAAAATCATATTATTCTAATAAAATTAAGATAAAATCTATAATCATTGAAACATAGAAAATATTAAATTATACATAATTCTTACATTTAAAAAGAATCCTATTATAAAGATTTTTGATTTTGATTTTTACTTTCTTTGATATTACTTGTATTGTCTATAAAAAAAATAAAATTTATAAAATAATATATATATATATATATATATATATATATATATATATATAGTTAAGAAAATTTTTAATTATTTATATATGTATACATATATATAGTTAAGAAAAAAATATATGGATATATATATATATATATATAATTGAAACATACTAAATAAAATATAGAATTTTCTATTAAAAATTTGGCATATATGTAGTATATCAACAAACATGTCTATAGTGTATAAATTATAGCTCTAATTTACAACCTTACTTAGATTTCTTCATATAAATTTCACTACTTTGAACAACTTATCTTTTTATGAATTTTTTTTTTAAATATATTTTTATATTATTAACTTCTATTTACTATAATATTATTATATATTAATTTAATTTATCCATTAATAACTTTAAAAGATATACAGATTGTGACATGCTATTCTTATGTTGTTTATTGCTTATTACTTATACCTTTAGTATCTAATTTTTATTAAATTAAAAAACTAGAAAAATAAAATTTTAAATGATTTCTATTCCCTTTTAGCTTTTATCTAAAATTTTTTATAAGATTATTTCCACTTTTGGAACTAATTTTTAAAATATATTGATAATATTTTTAAGGTTGAATCAATTAATTTTTTTTAATAGTACTTATATATAAAGGACAGGAAATTAAAGAATGTAAATAAACAAGTGTGTCATTTCTTAAGAAAGATGAAAAATAGGAAAAAATTATTCAAAAAAAAATTAGAATAGATATTGCTAAAAGATAAGAAAATTAGAGATTTTTAAAATTAGACTAGAAGCAAGAAAGAAATTGACAAGAATGAAGATGGCTTTACATTTGCCTTCTTGTATACTTTCTAACTACAAGCTATGTTGTTGTGTTGTAACATAGCTATTAGGTGAAAGAGAAAAAAAAATTATATTATATAGGAGCTTAAATAAAAATATTATGACAAATTATCTTTAAAATATAAATATTAGACAAGGAGGTGTTAAAAATTAATAAGTACTAATACTACATTTTTTAAAAAAAGACTTCTACTTTGTAGGATCATAAATGAGGCAAATTAAAGTAGATAAGAAAAATAGTTAATACAGGCATTTTAAAAAAGGAGTTAAGAATAGATTTTACCAAAAATTATCTTGAAAAACTAAAAATTGATATTCAAATAAGACCAATTGTGAACAAAGTTGAAATTAGATCCAAAGGCATAAAGTTAGGCACCTATAGCAATTCAAAGATTCTTTGGTTAATCAAAGAGTAAGGTTTAAGAATGGACTAAAAAAGATGTTTTGGACTTTAATTTTGAGTTATTTGAGTTTGTATTTACTTTGTAATGGCTTTGCAAAGTCAAGCCTGTTTAAAGGTGACTTTGAATTTTTGAAAAATATAAACAGCTTATACTTTAGAAAATTGTATATGATTGGTAAATGGTCTATAATTAAAAATTTGTGATCGAATTATTGGTGTTGTATTAATTTTTTTTTATAATTTTAAATTTGGTTTAACAATTCATTATAGGGTTATTGAAATTCAAACATAATGGGATCTTAGAAATTGGAGTTTAGAAGATCAATAAGGGTATCTAAGATTTATAGCAATCCACTAATTGGATTGAGTTAAAAGTTTTTACAATAGTAATAGACATATTTTCTAATATTTGTAAGAAGTAAAAAAGTTGTAGAATTAAGAGATATTGGCACTAAGAGATTGTCATCATGGTTGGAAAAAAATGGTGACCAACATTCAAGTGGATTTTAGAATTTATCTTCTACTTAATAATTTTGAACTTCTTCAAATTTTTTGTGCTTATTTTTAATTTAGTAATAAAAAAAATATTCATATTTGATTTAAAATCTATAATAATATAATTATTTATTGAGATTTTAATTTTCTATAAGATTGATTAAGAATTTATTTAAGATTTAAGATTAGAATTTTATCAAAATTTAATTTAAGATTTAAAATTTGATTTGGATTTTATTAGATTTTTTTAGAAATTAAGATTTAATTAGAATTTAGTAAGTATTTATTTAAAATATATTTGGAAATTATTTAAATTTTCTATTTTTATTATTTAAATTTTTTTTTAGATTTTTGTAAAATTTATTATGATTTCTTTATTATTTATTATTTTTGTAATTTCTTTATGATTTCAATTGGATTTGATGAAGATTGATTAGAATTGTTAAGATTAAATTATAATTCATTTAGGATTCTATTAAAGTTATTAGGAACCTTAGTGTTGCAATTTTTAATTTATATTCTACATTCAAGTCCTTGGTACATTCTTAAGCGAGGCTTCATGTCATATGACATATTTAGTGAATCCAACAAGAAAAGCTTAATGTGGAAGGTGTTTGGTTTTCTTGGTTTGTTTGAATTATGAACAAGGAAGACAAGAGAATTAAAACAAGAGCTATGGATAATACTTCAATTGGGGCTTCAAATGGAGTTGCAAGTAGAACTACAATTAGAGGTACTAGTAGAAGATAAGTTATGTATTTTGATCCTAACTTTGCAAACATGTTTTAAGTATTTTTTATTTATTTTTGCAACAACAATAACTTAAAAATTGCAAAGAGAGTATGGCAAACAAAGCTTTACAAGATTGATCATATGTGAGATGAGAGATTTGAAAATAAAATTTAATTATTAAGAATATCAATAAGACAAAAATTGGAACCAATAGAAGGTATAATGCATTAGTATATGTGGTGTAATAGCATAGATTAGTTAAGAAGAGAGTATGAAGAATTTATAGAAGTACTATGCAAAGGGCTTATTTTTTCAAAGATGATATAATATACTTAAAAGAGAGTGGAGAAAAATTAGAGACAAACTTTGATAAAAAGAGAATGAAGGTATTTATAAAGAATGAATTTAAAGTACATACAATCTTAAGCAATGAAGCATCAACATATTAAATGGAAGAAAGTCCAAGCAAATGTCAGCTTAAAACTTGAATTTCTAGGA